AAAACTAAGAAGCAAAAATTGAGAGACTAAGAAGTACATTTCAAAAAAACCCCACCAACTTATTGAAGATTTTTGTTCTACCAAAGAGGGAAATCAATTTTTGATTTTTCTTAAACAGTTTAAGAAATAGACTTTTCTTAAATAGTTCTATCGTGAAATTTATTAGGGATAATGAAAGCATGCTTGTAAGCCTCCACAGAATGTGGCTTTTTTCTCACTTCTGTAGATGAGACCATATGTAGTCACTATTTTGTCTCTTTTTAGAAGTGACTTTTTGGCATACAAATTTCACAGTCTTAGAGCCTGTACATACTGTTACTTCTTTTTAAGGCTCTCGGATATTGGTGTATTTAGTGATAATTTTGACAATCACCCATACAAATGGTTATCATTGAGACAAAATCCCAAATTCCTTTTCAGACAGTATTATGATTATTTGTTATGTTTTTCTGAATTTGGTTGTCTTTTTGGTATTTCAATTATTTTGCTTCCTTTTTCTTTCAGTTGAAAAAGTGGCTAATGAAAGCCAGAAAACACCCAGAGATGTGGTCATGATGGAGAACTTCCATCATATTTTTGCAACACTTTCTCGCTTAAAAATTTCTTGTCTTGAGGCTGAGAAGAAAGAAGCCAAACAGAAGTACACTGATCATCTTCAGTCTTACGTAATCTACTCACTTGGACAGCCTCTTGAGAAATTAAATGTAAGTGTATTTGAGTTTATATACATTTAAATGGTACAGAGTAGTCTTTCTCAAGTGTTTAGTTTGCACCATCCAATCTCTTTTATCACTGCATCTATCATAATATCTATTTTATTATTTTAGACTGGAGCTTACCTGGCAAGAGTACTCTACTCAGGAGGGTAACAGTCTTGGATGAAAAAAAACCCCAACTTTTCATGCCAATGAATAGTATTGACTGAACATCAGCTGTGTCTTAAGCAAATGGTTTTGAGGAAGGAAGAAGCAAGGGGAAAATTATTAAGGAGTTTTGGGATAATTTTCCCCACCTCAACTACAGAGAAAATTACTGTAGTTTCTGAACTGTTCAACAATAAGAAAAGTTTTAGGAAAGTTCTGTATGTCCTAAGTTGAACTAAGTGTTAAACAGAGTGCTGACTTTGGGCAGAACTGAGTCTGAACCTCTGTTTTCCACTGTTCATTGCTTTTCTATAAGTAGGATTTTAGCCATTCATTTTCTGAAAAGTCTATCCTGTTTTTGAAAATTAAAATGCTTTATGGCTGCTTCCCTCTTGTTGTGGGTTGACTCTGGCCAGCACCGAAGCTGCCACATAACTGCTTGCTCGCTCCCCAAGCAGGAAAGGGGAGAGAATAGGAAGAGCAAAAGTGAGAAAACTTGGGGGTGGAGATAAAGACAGTTTAATCAGTGAAGGAGAGAGAGAGAGGGGAAAAAAATAAGTGATGCAGAGGCAGTCACTCACTGCCTCCCACAAGTAGACTGATACCCAGCCAGTTTCTGAGCAACAGCCACCTTGAAGTCAAAAAGCCACCCCTGCCCCTTCTCTAACCCTAAATTTACAGCTGAGCATGGTGTTAGATGCTATGGAATGCCCTTTGGCCAGGGTTTACCTATTCAGCAATAACCGAAACACTGATGCACTGATGCGTTATCAGCCCTGGTTTAGCCACAAATCCAAAACACAGCACCCTATGGGGCTGCTGTGAAGAAAGTTAACTCTGTCCTGGCCAGACCCAGTGGACAGTTTCAAATGATGTTGTGGCTCTACGTGCATGTTCATAGGCGTATTGCCCTCCATTTTTATTATGTTGAACCAACTGGTGCAGGACAGTGAGAAGGGAGGGCAATTATGAACAAATATTGCTGTTGTGCAATTCTGGTTTAAGTAGAGAAATGCCTATTAAGGTGCTTGCTCACTGAATCTGAAAGATCCAGTATGTTCCCAGACTATGGCCTTATTGAGGGTTTTGAGGCTGATTCAGTATTAGTTCTAAGGTTGCAAAGAAAAGCTTGATTACTTCTAGAAATGATTGTTTTCAGTTTTACGGTAGTACTTAGTGCTGTATTGTTGGGCTCTGCTTTAATGTTTATGGCCTAGCACTACTTCGTGCCCAATTAAAAAACAAAAATGGGGGGAACACACAAGAGTTGTCAAGCAGAATAAAAATGTAACTACATATATGCTTGTCAAATCAAGTTAATTAGTTTAGATTTGTGATAACCATTAATACTGTTATTTGTTAGCATTTTTTTGAAGGTGTTGAAGCTCGTGTGGCACAAGGTATACGAGAAGAGGAAGTAAGCTATCAACTGGCTTTTAATAAACAAGAGCTTCGTAAAGTTATAAAGGAATATCCTGGTAAGGAAGTGAAGAAGGGATTGGATAATCTCTACAAGAAGGTAGATAAACATCTCTGTGAAGAAGAAAACTTACTTCAGGTAAACTAAATCATGGCTTAAAATCCTTGTAATGTTTACACAGAGGCTTTTGCGTATGTATTCTGTGAGAAGTGCCTAGCTTCAGCTAACTCTGAAAAACCATGAATTTTGAGCAGAGTTTTTTATAATCCCACTCTTGATTCTATTTGTTGTAACATTGATATGAACTGTGATGATAGAGTTCAGAAAGAAACTTCCATTATGACTCCCTCACTGACCGTTAACAGGTGATCTCTGTTCTGCAAAATATACTGGAAGAAGAGAGAACTAGATTTAAATAACTTGTTATCCTGATATGAAATTTAGCTGGTACACCTCAGCAGAATATACTTTCAGTTACATCTTTTCTGATAATTATATTATCTAAGTTTTTTCTTATACTCTGTAAACTTTCTCACTGGAGTAAATGGTAAGTAGATTTAAGAGTTAAGCATGTATTAACAGCTTTTTAGAAGTCTGAAATGTGAATTAGTACTGTTCTAGTTTGTGGTGTTTAAAGACAAAAGCAATACCTCTTCTAGGACAACTTCATCTTGACTATTTTCTGCTTTGCAGATTTGGCAGGAGTCATGTAGACATTAAAGATCTTAAACTTAATGGGTAAACTTTTTTTTGTTGTTGTTAATGCAGCAGCTCAGTTTACTGAACTTTGTTGTTAGCAAGCTTTAGTTTTAAAATAACACCTGAACTGAGAATCAAATAATGAGCCAATCTTTTGTAATTCACGTATAGTGTGCTGTGATGGCTGACATTTCCTAAAGTTTACTTTCCTTGGCAGGTTGTGTGGCATTCCATGCAAGATGAGTTTATACGACAGTACAAGCACTTTGAAGGGCTGATAGCTCGCTGCTACCCTGGATCAGGAATTACTATGGAATTCACTATACAGGATATTTTAGACTACTGCTCCAGCATTGCACAGTCTCATTAAGTTCTAGAAAGGGAAAGAGAAGCTAGCAGAGTTTGTGGCTGTTTATAAGGGAATCAAACACTATAAATGCTATTTGTTTTTAAAGGTGGATTTCAATGTGTCTGTGTAGTTAACTGCCATGTATGTCAAGTTACAGTCCTGCTTCCAGTGTCTTTCAGGGCAGAATAGAACCTTTGGGGACTTGTTTTTGCAGGTTGAAGTACTGTTTGAAAGCATTAATTCTGTGAAACACTTTGGATATGATTTTTTTCCCCCTTCCCCTAATGTTCAGATACTAGCACTACCTTCACAGTATGCAAAAATGATACTACTGTTTTCACTAATATTTTGCGTCTTGGAAATTATGTGAGCATTAATGACTAAAATATTTTCCCTTCCTTATTGTAGAAAGTACGGATGTGGAACTTTATGCAGTGGGAGTACCAAATTCATGTTCTGAAACGTAATGTAACTATGGCTTTAATTCCTAATTAAACTGTGTTCATCATTCTTTATTTCTATTGACTGTTATTTCAGAAAGGTGAAGACACAGTTATTTCCATTGTTTTGTCTCTGGGCATTGAAGTAGACTTGCTCTGTTTTTCAACATGTTTTATTTTTCCTTCTATTTAGTAAGGATGATATAGCATCAGTATATTCCCACCTCATGTAACCCCTTCCTCCTGGAGCTTCAGCTGTCTCTGATTCAGGACCTAGTTTTTCTCTACAGCTTGAGGAAATCGCTAATTGTTGTTGGATAGAGCTGGGGTGTATATAGAATAGAAACAGGTACAATAAAGGTAAACAGGCAGAAGTAAGGTTATGGTTTTTGAGATAAAGATGCAAGAACAAATTAAAAAAAGCAACCAAACAAAAACAACCAAAAAACAAAACAACCAACCCAAACCCAGTAATATGAATGAGAGGTTTTCCTTCTGAGTTTTATAACAAACCTGCTCCATGGCAGCTCCGCAACACCGAGACACCTGGATTTGGGTGAGCACACTCCCACTGCTCGTAGGTCGTTAGATCCTAGTTGCCTTTTGCTTACTAATGAAATACCTGATCCAAGCGGTGTATAACCCGCTTACAGTGTCTTTGCATGTGAGCAGCCAAAGGTACCAGAAGTAGCCAAAAGGTCGCCAAAACACCACCCAGGGGAGGTAAGGGTTACGCTGAGCAGGATTTCCCCTTGACAGCTTCTGAGAGTGACGGGTACCCTCCCTCACACCAGGCGCTGCCCGAGGCCTGCCCACAGCATCGCCGCGCCGCGCAGCTCAGCTACAGGCGGTAAATGCAAGCAGGAGCCTCTGGAAAAGGCTCGGCGGCAGCAGCGGCCCCCTCCGCCGCCCCTCCGCCGCTGACGCAAGCGTCGCTAGCAGGACGTGAGCGCTCTGGCGTCAGACGGGGCGTCACCTCGGCGCGAGGGCTGACGGGAGCGCGGGAAGGGGCGGTGGCGGGCGTGGGCGCGGGGCGCGTGCCCCGTTGCTGAGGCGACCGGGCGGAAGCGGCCGCTGCGCCGCGCGCCATTTTCAAACCGCCGGTGCGGCCTTGTGGGGGGAAAGGGACACGGCCGCCCCCCGGGGAGCGCAGCGGGGGCGCGGCGGGTGGGCAGGGCTCCTGTCCGCCGGGGGCGAAGTCGGGGGGGGGGGGCGGTCCCGTAGCGGAAGGAGGAGCGGGCGGCGGCGCTCGGCCGCCAGCTTGGGTCTGCCGTTGTAGCAGCCCTGAGGGCAGCGTGGCGCGGGGCTGCTCCCGTCTGCTCTGCCCCTGGGGACCTCAGGTGGTGAGCCTGGGCAGCCCCCCTCGGCGTCCGGCCTCCGCGCTAGTCTCTCGTTCCCTCGGAGCTCCGCAGGGAGCTGCATCTTTGCCGAAGCCTCACGGAAAGCATCTCCGCTACTCCTTGGTGGCTCGCCCTGCGAGAGTTTGCTTTTAACGGTACGTCTGGTAAGACCGACCCGGAGGGAGGGTGCAAAAATTCTGTTTAAAAAGCGACTGACTGCCCCTTGCTTCATACATGCTGTGGTTGCTGAAAGGTCTATAAATCTTCCAGTTTCTGGAGATAGGTGATGAGCAAGCCCTTAACGGTAGGGTTTTCTTGTACTGTAACGTAAACCTAGAGGTTTTGGTGTCTCTTGAAATAAGAAATCTATTTTTCTAGAGCAAGAGTTGTCTTTCTATTAGCAAAGTAGAGACACTTCCCAGCAAACATGATGTATGCATATCTGGTCAGAAGCGAACTCACAGAAAACAAACTTGGAAACAGACTTTGCCAAAACAAGCGCAGGCGCATTTTGTATATCTTGAAAACGGTGTCGCAGTAACGACATTTCACAACACAGCCTTCAGAGTCCACGGGCTGTACGGAGGCGTGTATTACAGCATTACTGTGGTCAAATGGTTGGTGCATTAGGTGCGTTTTTTACCCGGGTGAAAACAAAACTAGCTCCTTTTAGCAGAATGAGCTATATGAGCAGTAGTTACAGGACAGGAGCAGATCTGTTGTAAACATATTTCATGCACATGCAAAAAAAAAAAGCCTTCAGTGTATCAGTTTTGATGAATGAAAAATGCATTTTGGTATTTCTCAGAACTGAGACTGGAAACTCCATAATTGTCTTCAGTGTTAGTGTTATAGACTCAATAAAGAAATCTATTTCATAGTATATAAATTTGTCTGTGCTAATTTCTGTGTGTTCCATTATCAGCTATGTAGTTTTATCTTTCTTCTACATGGCTCAAGGACTGTATTATGTCTTCCATGGCCAAGATACATCTTTACTCTGCTTTTTTATTACTATATTTTCTTATTGATAGGTATTGCATCTGGAACATTTAACCTATACTCACCATCAGTTTTGCTGTCTTATTTTCACACTGAAAGGAGGGCTTCCATGTGCTAAAACTTTTCTGTTTCATATTCCACCTGTAATGATTAGTCTAATACATTGCTTCTTTCACAGTATTTTATGCTAATTGATTCTATACTTACAGCCTAAAGGAACCAGATTTGAAGTTCCATTATTTCCCGTCTTTCATGTCAATGTTCAATTTCAGTCATTGATGCCTTAGAACTCTAGGGAGGAGTTTATAGATGCTAAACATGGCTATTTCATAAATACCCAGGTCTTCAAAAGACTGTCCACAACCATCCAGGTATGTCAACAATATGAAGCACATGAAAGTTGTCATCTTTAGTCTTCGTTGTTCTGGTTTTGGCTGGGATAGAACTAATTTTTCTTCTTAGTAACTAGAATAGTGAAGTGTTTTGGATTCAGTATGGGATTTGGTATGGGAAGAATGTTGATAATACACAGAAGTTTTCAGTTGTTGCTAACAAATGAAGGACTTTTCAATTTACCATGTCCTGCTAGTGCATAGGTGTACAAGAAGCTGGGAGGGAGTGCAGCCAGAGCAACAGACCCAAATTGACCAGTGAAATATTCCATATCATATAACGTCATGCTCAGTGTATAGATGAGGTTTGACTGGGAAGCAGGGACTCTCGCTTCTGTGACTGTGGTTTCAGGATCTTTTATGTTCTGGGATCGCTAGCCTGTAACGGGCTGGGCATTGGTCAGTGGGTGGTGAGCAATCACATTGTGCATTACTGGTTTATATTTTCTATTATTAATTATTTATTATTATTATTGCAATTATTAAACTGTTTTTATCTCAAGCTCCAAGTCTCCTTACCTTTACCCCTCCAATTCTCTCTCCCATTCCCCAGGTGGGGTAGGGTGAGTGAGCAGCTGCGTGGTACTTGGCTGCTGGTCAGGTTTAAACCATGACACTCATGAACAAAGGAGGAACAAAAAAATAGGCTATTGGCTGTGAATATCTCTTCTGTGAGTAACTGAAAGATGTAGTCATTTAGACATCTTGATACATCGTCTCGGAATGGCTGATTTAAAATACCATTTATTTTTCCCTTTTTGTTTGCTTGTCTGATTTTTTTGGTTTTCACCTAAAATAAAAATTATATTTTCTTCCTAGTGGGACTAAATTACATGAAATATTAGGGTAATGAATTTTGTGTACTGTTTATCTTGTGGGAAATGCAAAAGGTGTAAAGAGTGCTTTCCAGTGCTTTGCAAATTTACAGGCAAATCTAGTAAGTTCAACATACCTTTCATCACGACTCAGTTGTGATTCACAAGGCTATTAAGCTTCTTTAAAGAAAAGGATATTCTGGATTATGTTGCCCTAGTAGGAATGATGTCAAAAACTTGGATTTCCAAAAAGCTGTTGAGAAGATTCTTTATCAAAGGCTTTTAAGAAAGCAGATCTCTCTCCAAAATGGAGAAAAGGTCATTTAATAACTCACTAAGTGGTTAAAAGAAAGTCTAGAAAATACCACCTTACAGTGAATGTGCAGAAAATTTTCTGCTATTTAACGCTGATCAGTGATCTGAAAGAATGGGATCAGCGAGGGTCAAAATTTGCTCATTACATGGATGTGTTAAGAGCTGTTCCAAGGTTTGCAGAACAATATCCCTGGACTGAATAATAAAGTCGGTGTTAAGGAACATCATTGATACAGGCAAAGTAATACACATCACGGGCTCTAAAGTGGCAGTTACCGCTCAGAGAAAGAGATGTTAGTGTCACTGTGATTGTGTCTAGTTGATGCTTTAGAGCAATCAGAAAGGCAAGTGATAAGTTAGGAAACATGAACAGTGAAGGCTGCAGCAAAGAATCTTTATGGCTGCTCAGAGTGATCTCAGTGTCAGAAGAAGCATGGAAAAGGGGCAAGCTGTACAAGCTACTAGAAAATTTTGGAAAACAGATTTGCTAAAGATGCCATCGTGAATGACTGAAGGCATGAATAAGGAATCCACTCATCCCCCAGCCTGTGTTTGTGCTTGGGATTGCCCTGACCCATGTGCAGGACCTTGCACTTGGCCTTGTTGAACTTCATGAGGTTTGCATGGGCCCACCTCTCCAGCCTGTCCAGGTCCCTCTGGATGGCATCCCTGCCCTCCAGCATGCCGGCCACACCACTCAGATTGGTGTCTGGCAAACTTGCTGGGGGTGCGCTCAATCCCACTGTCCAGTTCCCAACAAAAATGTTAAGCAGTGCTGGTCCCAATACTGACCCCTGAGGAACACCACTCGTCACTGCTCTCCACTTGGACATTGAGCTATTGGCTGCACCTCTTTGAGTGCGACCACCCAGCCAATGCCTTATCCACTGAGCGGTCCATCTGTCAAATCCATGTGTCTCCAATTCAGAGACAAAGATGTCATGTGGGACAGTGACAAATGCTTTGCACAAGTCCAAGTAGATGATGTCAATTGCTCTTCCCTTATCCACCAATGCTGTAACCCTGTTACAGAAGTCCACCATTCATCAGGCACGATTTTTTCTTGGTGACAGCTGACATGGCTTCACCAATCCCCTCCTTATTTTCCATGTCCCCTAGCACAATTTCCAGGAGGATCCACTTCATCATCTTGCTGGACACAGAGGTGAGACTGACTGGCCTGTAGTTCCCTGTGTCCTCTATTTCCCTTGTTAAAAATGGGGGGGTTCCCCTTTTCCAGTCAGCGGGAACTTAGCTGGACTGCCACGACTTCTCAAATATGATAGATTGTGGCTTAGGCACTGCATCTGTCAGCTCCCTCAGGACCCACTGATGCATCTCATCAGGCCCCATGGATTTGTGCACCTTCAAGGTTCCTTTGATGGTCTTCAATGTGATCTTCTACAGTGAGTGGTTCTTTCTTCTTCCAGTCCCCATATTTACTTTCTGTGTTTTGGATGGTGTGGCTGGAGCCCTTGCTGACTGAGGCAAAAAAGTCATTGAGTACCTCAGCCTTCTCCATATCCTGGGTGACCAAGTCTCCTGTTTCCTTCTGGAGAGGGCTCACATTTTCCTTAGTCTTCCTTTTATCACTTATGTACCTATAAAAGCTTTTTCTGTTGCCCTTTACATTCCTGGCCAGATTTAATTCTATGAGTACTTTGGGCTTCCTAATTTGATCCCTGACTACCTGGACAGTCTGTGTTCCTCCCAGGCTACCTGTCCTTGCTTCCACACTCTGTAGACTTCCTTTTTATGTTTGAACTTGTCCAGGAGCTTCTTGTTCATCCATGCAGGCCTCCTGGAGGTCTTACCTGACTTCTTCTTTGTTGGGATGCATTGGAGGAAATTCTTGAATATTAACCAGCTCTCTTGGGCCCCTCTTCTCTCCAGAGCTTTATCCCACGTTACCCTGCCAAGCAGATCCCTGAAGAGGCCAAAGACTGCTTTCCTGAATTCCGGGGTAGCGAGCTTGCTGCATGCCCTCCTCATTGCCCTAAGGATCTTGAGCTTCATTTCATGGTCACTGCAGCCAAGACTGCCCTTGACCTTCACACTCCCCACCAGCCCCTCCTTGTTGGTGACGACATGGTCCAGTATAGCTCTTCTTGTTGGCTCCTCTATCACGTGGAGAAGGACATTATCATCAACGCATTCCAGGAACCTCCTGGGTTGCTTATGCATTGCAGTGTTGTGTGTCTTACGGATATCAGAGTGGTTAAAGTCCCCTATGATGACCAGGGCTTGTGAATGTGAGGCTGCTTCTATCTGTCTATAGAGGGACTCGTCTGCACGGTCTTCCTGGTCAGGTGGCCTGTAGCAGACCCCCACTATAACATTACCTGTCCCTGACCAATAAGCTCTCGGTCGGCTCCTCATCCGTCCCCATGCAGAGCTCGATGCACTCCAGCGGTCGCTGACATAGAGGGCAACACCCCCTCCTCATCTCTCCTGCCTGTCCTTCCTAAAGAGCCTGTATCATTCCATTCCAACACTGCAGTCATAGCAGCCATCCCACCATGTCTCTGTGATGCCAATAAGACCGTAGCCCTGCAGGCATGTGCATGTCTCTATCTTCTTGTGTTTATCTCCCATGCTATGTGCATTTGCGTAGAGGCATTTAAGTTGAGCCCCCAGTGAAGCTGACTCTGGCTGAAATTCCTTTGTGCTGCTCTCCAGGTGCTCTCCTGCTGACCTGTGAGCTGTCTCCAGGTTCTGGGCATCTATTGCTGGCACTGGCACCAAGTTGGTAGGAGTGGGATGGATTGAGATTCCCTTTCCTTGGCAACTTTATTTTAAAGCCCTCTTCCCCAGCTTGGCAAGCCTATGACTGAAGATGCTCTTCCCCTTCTCTGACAGATGGACCCCATCAGCCCCCAGTAGGCCAGGTTTCTCAAAACGAGCCCCGTGGTCTAAGTAGCCAAACCCCTGGCTGTGGCACCAGTCCTGTAACCAATTGTTGACTTGCCAGATTCTGCTGCTCCTTTCAGATCCCTTCCCTTTGACAGGGAGGATTGATGAAAAAACTACCTGCTCTCCAGAGTCCCTCGCCGCCACTCCCAGGGCTCTGTAGTCCTTGATACTCCTCAGACTGCTCCTGGCTGTACCATTGGTGCCCAGGTATTCCTGAGACTAAATCTGGATACAGTAACACAATCACTGTTTTCCTGAATTCAACACAGAATCCCCAACGTTAATGCAGAAATACCAAGGTCTCATCACTTTTAGCTTTCATTGTTGTCTGCCAGAGGAGAACAAATTGCATCTAGTACACGTTAGTACATTGACAGTTACCATTTAGTGGAAGGAAGTGCACCTCCTCCTCCTTCAACCATCACAGTACATTAGGTAATAGTTTTCCATGCCATTGCTTCGGTGACATCCTGAACCTCTTCAAACAAATATTTTGGCAGTACCTGGAACAGATGCTGTGCTCATAAGACTGGTGATTTTCTCTCATCCATGGAGCAGTACCTGGCAACCACAGTCCTGTTGCTAGACTTATTTGTAGTGTTTTGATACAATGAGATGAAATCTTACTTTCCAGCCTCAGACATGAAACTTGCATGTTTTTTCATTTTATTATAAGTAACTTTATTTTCAAATATCTGCATATATTTAATATATTTTTTAAATCTGGGGAATTGTGAAACAGCATGATTTAAATGATATCTGTATTCTATCCTCTTTATATAAGATGCAAACAATGCTTGGGTTGGTAGCTTGGCTGCTGAGGTCTTTGCAGCCAGTAGGTGCATACTGAAACTTCTGAAGAAATGAGAGGGGAAAGTGTTTTACAGAAATAACTGTTTTTCAAAAATATTTCTAATTATTGAAGAGAAGATTTCTCATATTGAGGAGCATCAACTTTAGTATTCCATTTATTTTCTCATTCTATCTATAAAACCAGAAGGATATAACAATGTAAAAATTCTTCTTCCCTCAAATGAACATGGCAAAACCAAAAAGTCTCATCTGGATTCAGATACAGTAGGGCTGATCCAACCACTTTTAGATAAGGTTAGTAATAAAAAGATGACTAATCAGTCAAAAGAGAAATAACTCCTCTGGTCCTTGAACTGTATTTTCCAGGAAACGATGCAGGTAGGACTATAGTACACCAGAGGTTTGTGGTTTTTTTGTTTCATATTTCCCCTCATAGAAAAAGATGTTCAGAGTCAAAAATTTAAAATTTTACACATTTTATGCAATTTTACAAATGGTTGGCATAAGTTATATTAAATACTGCCTTGTAAACTTTCAACGTAAGGTTTGTATATAAAATAAAAAAGTATATGGGAGTTTTTGAGAATAATCTGTCAATTTGCGCTGTGGAAGATACCGTGATGACTGTGATTCAAAAAAATCAAAATCTACTTCTTAGTCTTCTCACATAAAGATCTTCTCAGAGTTCAGTTCTTACATGCTAGAAAGAAAAATTCATGCACTAAGATATTAGGAAAGAGAAAACTAATTGCCAAGGCAATAATTCTTTTTAAAGAAATATGTAACTACATTTGAAACTTTTTAGTTGCTCTATGATTCTCTTTTGATTTACTTAAATTTCAAGTTCATGCTTATGCTCTGTGTTTCCTACAGAAAAAACGTTTTTTTTTTTTTTCCATTACTTTTTCCTGTATTAGTCTTGCTTTAAATGACAAATGATGTAACAGACAATCTTTTGCAGGTGTCCTATTTTTCTTGACTGTGACAAAATCTGCTTTGGAGGTGTGTTTACAATGACTACAACCGCAGAGCGGAGGTTCATTAATCTCAGGAAACGTCTAGATCAGCTGGGCTACCGGCAACCGTTGGGAGTGGAGAGTTTACCTTTGGTGGAAAAGCTTTTTAGGTATTCAGCAGGAGATTCATTTAAAAACATAGTAATAATATAGTAGGTATTTTTTGTTGACATATAAGGGGAATGCTTAATCTGAAGATTATTTTCAAGCAATGTTATTTCAGAGTTTACATTCAGTTCCTGTGTATGATGAAGTCAAATGGTTTTGCTTAAGTGATGAGAACATCGTAAGATTTCATTTAATTTAGTATGATTATTTGTAAGGATCGATGGTCTAAGAAAATTCAACTTTTCTAACCTCATAGGAGAACCAAGAATAGTCACTATTGATATGTGCTTAAATGACACGCTCTTATAACTAGTTGTATAAAAGATAATCCCTGTCTGTACTGTGACTTAAAACATTTGTGACTTTTTTTTTTTTTTATGATCTTGTTTGGAGAAGTTTAAATTTGCTATCTGTGCAGTTTTTACAGGACATGTAACAGAAGAAAAATTTTCAGCTGACCTTAATATATCTGCCATTTCATGGCTTTGATATGATTATGAACATAGCAATTTCCATAATAATGTAGTTATATTTGGCTAAACATGCAAATGTAGATGTTCTGGTTCTGTTGCTCTCTAGCATCTAATACAGATAGAAGAACCATAGGTAGGCAGATGTGGAGTAATCTGCCTTCAACATTAAGTCTCATTCTGGTGTCTAACAGATAGGTTTAATTTCTCAATCACTGACTCTGATCTTATTTTCACAAAAATGCTTATAGCTACTTACCACTAGTCTCTCTTTTGGATCGTCTGATCTCCATATAAATACTAGTAACCTTCTGGCCTTTTGAATTCTTTATTTCAAGTTTCTTCTGTGGTAAGTAGTGCTACAATTTACGTAGTGCTTTGAGGAAAAAAGTAGTCTTGCCAGTTTTGAATATCTCTTTATGTAGAAAAGAGAGTTTATTGAGTTATCAGTTGGAAACTCCTGATATGCTTTCTAAATAATTTGTCATGTCCTTTCCTATTTACTTTTTTTTAAGTGAATAATTCCTGTCTTTCAGTTTTCTTAGATGAACATTTGTTGAACCCATTTGTTCTACAGTTAACATTGTCTCAGGAAAAGGGTTTTGTTTCTCAGGCCACAACAAATATTTGCATCTGCAGTGTAAAGGCTGATAACATTTCTAACATGTCTGATGCTCCTTTATTCTAGCGACCTAGTTCATACGACTGAGAGCTTGCGCAGTGCAAAGTTATCTGCTGGAAAAACTGAAAAAGAATGCAGCAATTATGATGCTATTTTGGAACCTTATAAAACAGAGAATGCTAAACTTACCAGGAAAAATAATGAACTGCATTTAGAAATATTAAAACTGAAAGAGCAATCTGATCGTCATGTTAAAGGTAATACAAAAGTTATGATACTTTTTTTAATCCTTCTGTGCCAAAATAAAATTGCGGCCAAATCCTTGATCCACAGATTAATTTTTCTCTGTACCTGAGTGTCAGTGCTCATTGACTTTGCTGCCTTTAATGAATTAAGGCACATGCACAGACATTTTCTTTGTAGTTACAAAGCTTCTGAAGTCCTGCAAATCACTGGTTTAATCAAACATGAATATTTTAATACCTTGAAATGCTACTTTTCAATTTAAAATTAAATACTGCTGTTAAATGTACTTTTATTCTACAAAGAGGCTTTATCTGTATAACTTGTATAAATATGTATTTTTGTGTGTTTGTGTGTATATATACACATATGTATGTGTATTTGAAAATTTCATTTTATGGAGAAAAAATACAGGATTCTCTTTATGCCTATTTTGTTGCTACTAGGAAAAATAATAATGAGTAAGAAAGATAATACTGCTTCTTCTCTCCCTTGAAGATTTGAAAGCCTCCTTAAGGAGAGTTGAACATGAAACGGCTGACTTGAAATTTCTGAATAACCAATATGTACACAAAATTAAAATGCTGGAAAAAGAGAACAAAGCCAAGACTGAAAAAATTCAGCAGCTTCAAGAGAAGAATCTGCAAGCAGTAGTGCAAACACCTGGTGAGTATAAATAATCACAGATATTTTAACTTTTCTCTGCTCTGTTTTTGACTCTTCAGAACATAATCTTTTTTTTTTTTTTTTTTCATCTCGGAAGTTACTACAAAAAAATAACTATCCAATAGAATAACATTACCTTTTGAAAGTTTTGGCTTTGAATTCAGTCTTTTTCTCTGTATGGAAGAAGTTTAATTAGCACATCACTTGTGTTAAGCACAAATTTGAACACAAACTTAGATTCAGTAGAAGACTATTAAACTAAAATGTGTCTGGAAAGCACAGTTAATCAACAGCTATTTTTATTTTTCTACTGCTGCACCTAGTTTAGTCAGAGGCAGGTTGTTTGACATTTGAATCTTTTTGACAGCTAATTGATGGTGTGCAAGTGACTAACTCAGATTTTTCTAACCAAGATCTAAAAGTAGCAAGATGCAACATATATCTACAAACAAATATTCCAGACCTCTGAAAGCTTACAGTATTTAAAGGGTCTTTTGATAAATTAAAATGTTCTGGGTGTTACTTTCAGGTTAATTTCTTTCTCTAGGGTTTCCTTTTTCTTTATTTCTTTTCAAGATAAGGAAAATAGTGAGAAGTATCTTGTGACATTCTGAAATGGTCTTTTCCTCCCAAGTTATTGAGTTACCTGTGGATTTTTGGCATCTGAAGGAAGTGAACAGGTGGTTAGGTGAAATTAATATTCCTCTCTACTTTTCCACACCTTTCTGCATTTCATGTCCTTTGCTTCAAAGATGCCATGTTACACTTTTGTTTGTATTTTGGCATACTTGCCCCTTGGTCACCAGTATTCTGGGATTTTTCTGTACAATGTCATCAAATACTGTATGTTCTTATTTAATCATGTGATGAAGAGTAATTGTTTCTTCTAGAAATAGTACTATGTTTTGCTTTGTTTTTAATATAATGTTACCATGCAGGCAAATAACCTACTGTGATATGCTTCATTCACTGAAAAGACAATACGATAGAAGGAAAAAAAAACTTTACTAAACAATGCAGAGGTTAGTTCAGTTATAAAATAATTTTTAAATGTGAAAACAAAATTTCTTTTCTGACGTTTTAATTTAGCTTTTTTAGTCAGGTAAATCACTAAGATTCAACAAGTTTGAACTGTAGACTATATAGAGTCTTAAACACTGGGGAAAATTACTTATCCTGAACTTTGCATGTTTCCTTATCATAAAACTGAACTTTGACAAAGCTGATGCTAACCTGTAAGAATGGTGGTGTCTAGAATGTACAGAATTTATCAACTTATTACAGTAAAATTAAAACAGTGAAACGTGCCGGTTCAGAAGCAGTGGAATAGATAGGTAATTTCATTTTGTGTTAAAGAACACTCCCTTGCTTTAACTCCAAGTAATAGGCCTTTTCGTTTGGGTTTTTAGGTGGCAGAAAAAGAAGCATTCCCTTCAGGCGTCAGCGCATGCAGATAGACCAGCCCGTCCCCCCATCAGGTGTTAGCGCCTATCCAGTTCCTCAGCCAGAGGACCCTTATGTCGCAGACCTTCTTCAGGTGGCTGATAATCGGTAATGTAAAGAACTTTTAAATTTTGAAGCATAGGTATTAAATATCTGCAGTGGTTTTCCAACCCCCGCCCTCCTTCTGCCTTTCAAATTTGCCTTAAACAAAATGCTATTTCATGATGTTTTAAGAGCACTATAGTTCTTAAGTGGAATTTTGCTTAGTGATTGACAATGATGCCTGTGGCAAAGTTGCAATGGATATTTAATAAGCTGCTTATTTCCTTAAAGGATTTCTCTTAGGATTTCTATTCTGGTTTTACTGTTTTACCTAATATTAGATTGGGTATTCTGGAAAGAAGCTAGGTGAAATGTTTTGCATAGGAGTAAATTGATTTATCCTATTTATTTAGGAAGACTAAAATATTACTGATTTTTGTAATACAAGTTTTGGCTTGGAAACCTGTATTATGAAAGGTTCAAGTCAATTATTTTTTCTTATTTAGAATATATCTGTAGAGAGTTTACATGGCAAGGTGTTGGCAGCAGGGGGACTGTAGGGGTGGTCTGAGAAGAGACCAGCATCTGCCCCGTGCTGGACACAGCCAGTTCCACTTGGTTTCAAAACAGACCTACCACGGGTCACAGCTGAGCCCATCAGCCAAACTGATGGCTCCCCTGCGAAAATGTATTTAAGAAAGGGTAAAAACCAATTCTGCGCAGCAGCAATGAGAGGTAGGAGTAAGAAAAACATGAGAGAAGCAACCCAGCAAGACTCCAAGGTCAGTGAAGAAGGAGGGGAGGAGGTGCTTCAGGCACTGGAGCAGAGATTCCCCTGCAGCCCATGGAGAAGGCTGTGGTGATGCAGCCTGTGGAGAGCACCACATCAAAGCAGATATCCACACTGCAGCCTATGGAGGCCCCGTGCTGGAGCAAGTGGATATGCCCTGAAGGAAACTGCAGCCCCTGGAGCAGGCTCCTGGCAGGAACTCTGGCTCAGGCCAAGTTGCCCACGCAGGAGCAGGTTTTCTGGCAGGATCTGTGGTCTGTGAGGGACCCACACTGGAGCAGTCTGTTCCTGAAGGACTGTTCCACATGGGGATCACCCATGCTGGAGTAGTTCATGAAGGACTATACCATGAGAGGGAGCCCACGCTGGGACACGGGAACAGCGTGAGGAGGAAGGAGCAGCAAAGCCGAAGTGCTATGAAGTGTTAGGAACTGACTTCAGCTCTCATTCCCCATCCCTACTGCACCACTTGGGGTAGGGGAGAAATAAGTCAGAAGTGAAGCAGTGAAGTTGAGCTTGGAAAAAAGCAGAGTGTGGGAGGAAGGTGTTTTTAGTTTGTTTCTTACCATCCTACTCAATTTTGAATTGACAGTAAATTAAATTAATCTTCCCCAAGTCAAGTCTGTGTTGCTCATGACAGTAATTGGTAAATGATCTCCCTGTCTTCATCTTGACCCATGAGCTTTTTCATCTTATTTTCTCTCCCATCCTGTTGAGGAGAGGGAGTGAGAGGGCAGCTGGGTGGGGGTCTGGCAGCCACCCAAGGTCAACCCTCTACAATATCTCAGACAAAGGCTTCTGCATTAATATTTTGTATGGACAGAATTATTTTTTTGTGAAATATTTATGTTCAGGAGCAAAGAGAAAATACTAATATTGAATTGTTGTATACATATGATTCTCCCATGAATCCACATAAACAGTATATTTCTACATTTCAGAATTCATGAACTTCAGTCAGAAGTAACAGAGCTACAGGAAAAACTGGAGATATCTGAACGTGGAATGAAAAATTATAGCAAACAGGTATATTTACAGATTATTATTTTTTATTATTATTTGGCTGTAGTAGCCATTGCAATGGCCTTGATTATTTGTCTTTTAATCTCATTGGGGAAGCATTGTAGGGCTTGTGAAATGTAATTATTCTAACTTGCCTACATTGAACTATGTCTCTCCTCTGCTTTTGGAGACAGCAATGATAAAATACTTGCCTGCTGCTTTTGCTGATATATTGTGTATTAAAATTACATTAAATAAGCTAAACCTGATGATCATAAGTAGAATTTGTGTATGTCTAGGGCATTTAAGTGCAGAAGCATTAACTGGTCCAAAATAATAATTTGATCTACAGATATTTTAGGAGAATTTTTTTTCACTGTTTGGACTAGATATATTTTCTGAATTTCTATCTTTAAAAGTTAATTTATGAACAACAGACTTTACAATACTTCCATTAGAGTGGATTCATAAGCTATGTATAACCTTTAAGTGTCAGAATTGCACTGATTGTTTATACATTGTTAAGTCTTTCAATATCTGGGGATTAGTGGACACCGTCCTCTTTTTTTTTTGTTCACATCTTGGTTTTCCCCTCTTCCAGTATTCCCTGAATTAGCTGATTTAAACGTTTTTTCCCTAAATTTAAGTGCTAGCCTCAGATGGTTAATTTGCAATATTCATTAACTTCACTTTAAATAGAAGTTGTTCGTTTCTCTTTAAGAAAATAATCTAGTAGGAATCGTTTCAGGGTTTTTTTTCCACAAATTCTATTTGATTAATTGCTTTTTCCTTTCAAATAAATCATTTTTTTTCAAAAACACTCCAGAATTTTAAAAAAAGTATATTAAAGATAAAAGTTGCATTATTAGGTTCACATCTTCTCACTGAATGTTATATAGGTGTTTATTTGAACAAAGGTTCTATTAAATGGGATAGAAGATATCAAAGAACTTTTTTTTTCCCCCTCAAAGGTTGAGCTAAGAGACAAAGAAATAGAGCGCCTAGTGCTAGCATTGGATGGTGGGCGTTCTCATGAGGTTATCTCTCTGGAATCAAGAAGTAAAAGTAATGAGAAGCTTATTGCCCATTTGAATTTGCAGGTAATGGATTTATTACTGTTATTTAGTCAAAACTAAAAATACTAGCAATCTAAAAAACCCACAAAGCTTCTAGTTCTTTAAAAAATCAGTACTAGACATACAATCAATCAATTTAACTTGCTTTGCTTTTTAGGTGGCAGTGTTTCTTGTCTGGGGAAATTTCATTTCTTGTTTTAGAAGTCCATTAGAATAGTCTTGGTAAAGGATTCTGTGAACTCACATCTGTACATAGTAGTGTTAATCTTAGAGTATTCAGAGAACTTTGTATTATACACTGTTTTCACCAAGTTTGAAAATACTGATTTTTTTTTTTTTTTAATTTTATTTTCGTACATACCATTTATGTTTTAGGAACTAGCAATGGTATGTGTATTTATGATAAGGAGTAGTCCTGCAGATAATCTCATCAGATAGCGGGGAATCTCCCTCATTGAATCTCCCTTTATTCCAACACAGACTTGCAAGGAAAGTATAAGCATAGCATAAAGATGTTTGTGTTTGCTGTGCATAGTAGCATGTATTCAATATTGGTCTCAGAATGAGGATTTAAAAAAAAAATTATACAAGACAGGCTGGAGTACAGATGAAGTAAAGCCAGTCTCTGGATTTATACCATCAGTTCTCTGTTTTCCTGACTTCAACGTTCTATATACTGATTGTTCATGATGTACAGTGGCATGAGAGCCACGTTGCAAAGTTTATTAGCTTAGGTTCAGTGCTGCAAAAATACAGAATGAGCTATGACTTGGAAGCTGTACGGCTTTGTTCAGTGATCCCAAATTAGTAAGTCATGCTGAACAAAAATTGATTGTAGAGAGAGTGAGCCCAGAGCCGCCTAAAACTGATTTTGGACCATCAAGACTATTTGCTCAGGCTCAGTGCCAATATAGCACTTCTATTCTCTGACAACAAATGGATGGATATCTCTATGTAGCAGTATTCATGACTGTGAGAGGGCTCAGACTTTCTTCAGTGTCTACAGTAATACTTCTTTCTGGAGTTAGGAAAATTGTGTGGAGATGGAAGTGGAGCACCTCTGCTATCTTGAATCTTTCAAGATACTCCAGGCTCCCGTTTTCCTGGGTAGTGTAACTTCTGCATTATTTTTTATTCCTACTCTACATTCTTGCCTCTCTTTCCTCTCAGGGAAAGGTATATTGGGAAAAACAATGTCTCTAGAGCAGGATTTCTGAGGATGTTGTGTTTAAGGCGCTGAGATATTTTGGGGGCAAGATAGGTTTTGGGAATCTGATCTGTAAAGCTTTACTTTCATGAAGGAGTAACAGTGAGACTTAAGCCTAGCAAATATACTACAAAGGTGGAGAGAAGAACGTGTCCTCATATCTTGTGAAATTTAGGGAAACTCTAGGTATACTAGGTCTACTGGACTGATACCCAAGGCAGGTTTCTATACAGTTCTCTGCTTTTCAGTACTTTGTTTTTAGAATAAACCTCAGGTTTTGGAGACTAGATAAAGAACAGTGTAGTAATTAATTCCTTCACCTTGCAGCACTGTAAAATAATATTTTTTCATGTTGATAATCATTAAGTTATAAAAATAGAAAATCTTGCCATTTTTAACAGGATGTCACTTTTTTACTATGGATATAGAGATACTGTATTTCAGAAGATTGGGAGGAATGTTTGCTACCAAGTTTAACAAAACATATTGATGTTTTAATGAAAAATATCTTTTAGGTTGAGTATCTTCAACAAACAAACAAAGAACTTGAAAATCGCATTCGAGACCTCTTGGACACTAAACAAAATGTGACTAGTGAGGTAGTGCATTTAAGCAATAAAAATGAAGAACTGTGTCAAGAACTGAATGAAATAGACCACTTGGCACAGCAGTTGGAAAGACACAAGGAAATTGTGCTTGAGACTGCAGATAAGGAAATAGGAGAAGCAAAGGTAATCACTAACGTGTTACAGTGTGAAGTATCTGCTCAGCTCTTAGGTGGCTTTATATCTTTTAATTGCAACAAATGACCTATCAGCTTGTAAAGGAAGATTAAAAAGATATTTTTTCCAGTTTACTTAATATTATAAAGACTTTATCCCTAAAGGATGACTAATTAGAGTAATTTTGTCTCCTCACTGTATTAGGTGAGATGAGTTTAGTTAAAAGGCAATCTGTTGTCCTTATTCCATTAGCTTAGTATGAAATAAAATTCTGAGATACTTAAAACTATTGATAGGTAACAGATTTTTGCAACAGTGATGCCTGTGTTTGGAGGTTTTTTTCCTATGAGGAGTCATGCAATGATTTAACTGTTGTGCTCCAAAAGTGCATGGGTGTGTATACCACAAATTTTTTGTGCTTTCAGTTCGTAGGAACTTTACTACTTAAAATTTAAAAATGATTATACTTTATTTCATACAAAAATAGCCTGTTTCCTTATTTTTTTTTTGTAACAAAGGAAGTGTTGTCATTTTGAATATGTAACTTTTAACATATAGGTTAATTTTGGTTGATAGAAAGAAATTGAAAGAAAACACAGTGAAATACAGGATCTTGAAGAAACAGTAACAAGGCTTAAATCAGTAAGTAAAAATACTTCTGGTTTTTGTTTGTAGCATATTTATCATACTGTCACCCACATGATTCTTTCATTTATTATAAAAATTAACAATTAACAAGATAACTTTTATAGCACCCTAAACTCTTTTGTAATAAGTTACTAATTAGTAAATGAAACAGCTAAATAAGCTACACCATATTGTTGCAAAAATAAATTGAAAGAAACCTCTGTAGACAGTACAGTTGACTGTGTCCTTATTGTACATTTCCTTATTTCTGATATCTGAAGTCATAATTTCCATGACATAATCATTTTTACCACGAACAAGTTATGACATCCTGGAGGATTTTCTTTGTTTAGAAACTACTTTGTCTCTTAATCAACATATGACTAATTATGCAATACTCGGCTCACTCGAAAACAAAGCATAGTAGCTCAGATGAAGAACATTAGTATCATCAATTCCTTGAAGACCAAACTCTTTCCAGCATATAGTAAACTGTATTAGTTGAGTATAGTGTTTTTTTTTTGGTATTTCTAGTGAACTTGAAAATACAAAATACTTAATTTTCAGAGCAGCAGATTATAGGGAAGATATGCCAAATATCATTTGATTATCTGCAGGGTTAGGTTGACTGAGATGCCATATTGTGATGTGTTTTAACACCAACAGTTACTAAATGCCATTAAAAATTATTTCTTGCTTTAGTTATTATTTTTTTCCATGTTTGTATCCCATTATCCCTCTGATTGGTTTCTTGAATTAAACAAGGGTTAATCTTGCTTGTTTCGTTACTGATTGCAAACCATGTCAAAAGTAATGCTTACTTTGATGTAATAAAAAGTAGTATAAAACAGCTATGGCCCTTAACCCATGTTAAAGCATAAAACATCCAGGTTAAATGGAAGTAAACAGTGTTGAATATTAAAAATTTAACAAAATTAACGTTAAATATTTTTTTCCAAATATCTCTACTGGCACTTCTAATTTTTGTAATAATATTTGTTACCTCAGGAGTTGTGCTCGTGTCGTAGGGAGAATGAGAGACTGAGTGAAGAACTCTTTGGAAAAGCAGATGATAAAGAGAATCTTGAACTGTTGTTAAACCAGCTTGAACAAGAGAAACAAAGGCTGACAGAAAAAACAGAGAACTTAGAAATAAAAGGTAAATCATCAAATGTAGATTTCTGTAAATTATCTTCCTATAATTTTCGAAATAGAATACAGTTAATAATGCTGCAAGTTTTTATATGTAAATTAAAAGAAGACTGTAGGTCTTCAGTCAGAATTGAAGTGAAAACTTTTGTAATGGAAGCATGTTTTCATTCTGTATGTGAGAACTGAAAGTTGAGCTTTTTACTGTGATCCCACAGGACACCCTAATACTAATATTATGGCAGTTTCATACAAAATAATTTAATTTGTCCAAACCTGGTTTTATTCTCTGTCTTTCTGAATGAGTGAATTCAGACTGTGTTTCTTGAGAGCTTTATCCAGTTGGATCTTGAAAACCTCCAGGGATGGAGATTCCACAACATCTCTAAGCAACCCATTCCAATGTTTGTTTATCCTCAGAGTAAAAAGTTTCACCTGTATTGCTTGTAATTGCCTGTAGCAATTAATCACCATTGTTCCTTGTTTACTTACTGTGCAGCTCCCTGAACAAACTGGCTCCATGTTACCCACAACCCCTTCTTGATATTGTCAATCTGCTCTTGGCTCCCCAGCTCTTCTCCAGGCTCAACAAGCCCAGTTCCCTCAGCCATTCCCCACAGGGCAAGTGTTCTGCTCCCTGACTAGCTTGGAGGGCCTCCCCTGGACTCACTCAAGTTTATCAACATCTTTCTTGTACTAGGGGCGACAAAACTGAACACAATATTGTAAATGTGGTCTAATGAGAACTAAGTAAAGGGGAATAATCACATCCCTCAGTCTGTGTTTCTGTTGATACAGCCCAATATGCTGTTAGGCCTCTTGGTTCCAAAGCACACCGCTCACTCGTGTTTAGCCTACTGTCAACCAGGACTCCTACATCCTTTTCAGCAAATTTGCTGCCCAGACAGTTGCTGGGAGTTAGTCCATCCCAAATGCAAATGTCTTTGTGGAATTCATGAGGTTCCTATACAGTTGTTTTTATTTCTTTTTCTGCAGAACGAGAACTTGTCCTAGAAATAGAAAGAATGAGACTAGAATATGGCATAGCCCTAGGGGACAAATCTCCATCTCGTCTAGATGCATTTGTGAAGACTTTAGAAGACGACAGAGATTATTATAAGCGAGAATTAGAATATCTTCAGAAAATGATAAAACGAAGGCCTAGCCCAAGCCGTAGGACTTCAGAGAAGGTAAAGTTCCTTCTGGCAAGACAAGCTGAAAAAGTACTGGAAATACTGCAGAACCATTTAAGGAGCTATAAAAGATATTTTCAAGTTCAGTAGCAGTAAAAGACTGTAGTAGTTTTTAAAATTACATTCTTAACATAAAAATTTAACAGAAACTGTAGTGAACTTTCATTTTATTTTCCTATTCACATTTTACGATATTACATATTATTGATCAATTTGTTTGAAGTAAATAGAACTAGATGATAAAGAGGTTGAAATCTTATTGTTAGATGATTTGCTTTTTCTCCTTAATAGTCCTTATTGTTTAAATTATACCACCAATGCTAGACATTTTCTTGCAATTAAAACTTATTACGTATGTATTTTTCATGTATTACTAATAGTGGGAGTTCTTTTTTTGTTTTAATTATCCAAATAATTAGTATATTTTAACATAGATTTCATTAATCACTTTGCAGAGTGAAGATCTTAGACTGATCACCAGAGAAAGAGATGAGCTACGGTCCATGTTAGACAGATTTGAAAAACACATGATAGAAATTCAATCCAATGTCAAGTTATTGACTGCAGAAAGAGATAGATTAAATGTTCTTTATGAGCAGGTAAGAAGATATTGTTTATAATTGGCATTGAAATAACCAATTAAAATTTTTACTGTTGCTTATTTAAACTGAAAAAACTCTTTATAATAGAACTTCAGTAGTATGGACCTACTAGAATACAACTAAAAATAATAAAGTATACACTTATTTTTATTACTTGTTAATAAAACTGTGTATTCCAAAGTTAGTGTATTAACTTCAAAGCCATTATAACTTAATCTACTGACATTCAGAAATGAGAAAGATCAGGAAAAAATAATCAGTAGAATGCATGAGAAAGGTGGGTAAGGATAGAGGCTAGAAAACAAGGAAGAAGTAGGAGTCAACTGATAAGAAAACAGAGTGAAGTTAGGCTATACTTGGAACAGTAAAATGATGATGAGTATCTTGGCAGCATAAGTTGTTATGCTTAGAGTATATATGACTTAGAGTATATATTTTAGTTACCTAGGGAAAAATAATACTATAATAGCCCTTCTGTTGTAATAGCATCATTGAAACTTTTTTTTTTCGTTAGCGTGTACGCTGTGTTAATTGCAATCTACATATGCTAACAAATGATAATTTTTTAAAGTCTCAGGCTGAACTGAACAGGTTGAGAAGAGAAGCAAAGCATAGTTTAGTTTCTCAGAGTCACATGGAAGAAGAAAGAGACATTGCACTGACTGACTTTAGAAGACTAATGGCAGAAAAAGAGAGCCTCAGAGAAAAATTAAAGGTGAGCTTTTATAGTATCATTGCTTACAGTGAGGTGACATATAGGGAAGGCTTAAACAATAATGCCATGTTTGTATCTGACTGTCTGTCAGTTCCCATCTTCAACAACTTTTAGACTCATCTGATTTCAGACTCACTTGAGAGAGCTCAATGAATTGTCTGAATTATCCTTGTAAACTCAGGTCCCAGGTGGGAGCTGTGGGGAGAGGAATATGCTTTAAGTGTCTGGGGGCAAGCATGGCATGACCTCGTGTGAAGAACCTAGATACGAAGCCCCAACCACAGAATATTTTTGTGTGTATGCATTACTGCGAAGATGCTTTTGTGTCACATGTGGTTCTTACTGCACAAACTGGGGACTTTATGGACTTTTTCATATTAACTAATCTTTATTTATTGTTGCATTTTGTAGCAGAGTATATTTTAAATGGCATATAACTGAACCATCAAACATAAATTCATAGTGATCCAAGTTTAATTATTTTTAACCTTAAAAAAATATTTCTTAATGCAATAATTTTCCTGTTAATTTGACCTTTTAATGTTTGGTATTAATGTGCATTAATGTCTTATTTGGTTGTAAGTCAAGAGCATATGATTTCAGGGGTGTTTCCCTGACTTCTTTATCAGGTCATTAATACAATGTATACAGGTTTTTAAAATGTCCTGAAAATTCAGAAATTTAAAATCATATTAATGGACTGATCCAAAGACAACATATGTCAAGATTGACTATATGATGAATGATTCCATAGTTTGATTTACTACCACAAAAATAGAGAACTGTAGTGTATCTGAATGCAGTGGAAGTAACTCTGACCTCTTTGCTTAAAGCATGTGCATGCGATGGAAGAGAGGTTTTCCCAGCTCATCCTTTCTTCTTGTAGGTGACTACCAACATTTTGTTTGTGTGCCACTTTGAAATACCTGCATGAAAACACTTATCTCAGGCATTTCTAGGAAGTTTGAGAGTTTGTTTAGTAATTTCACTGCAATTATGCACAGAAATCAGAGAACAGAGAAATAATTTTAAAAAAATTTCTTCGTAGACTTGGCGAAAGACCAGTTAGCTTTGTAATCTGTCTTACATTTCATATTAATCATAATTTAATAAATTAATTTCAAACAGCTTTGGACACTAAGCTATACATCCTTGCAACCTTTGATATGGCCCTGTAGCTCAGTAATTTTTCTACAACAACTCACAAATATTGGTTTGGTTGGGACCAAACATAAATACACTTTTTCTTCAAACAAACCAAACCAACAACCAAAAACCAAAACCAAACTCGGTGATGTTATATTGAACTTCAGTGGTGTATTTTCAGCTAATGCCCAGTAGTTTTAGAGAGACTATTTGACATTCAGTCATTCATCTAAGAATGTAGAGAATTGTTTTCTTAAGCATTAAGCTCAAATTTTGATGGTTAATACTAACACTGTGTATCTTATTACATGTAATTCTATATTTCTGTCTCAGATTCAGCAAGAAACGGCTAACCTTGAAAAATCAAAGATGCAGCATGATATTTCAGAACTGGAGAACAATATTCAAGGAGTAAGTGCATTTGTGGGTAGTAAGCACTTATTGCTTCTATAATAGGATAGACTTTGCAAGCAATTAATTTTGTTAGCTGTTTTCAACTAAAATTTATTTAAAAGCCAAGTTGTGATGGCTTTCTACAACAATAATGTGTTTGGTTATTGTTTTTTAAATTGCAGCTTGAGATGGAAAGGTGTGAACTAAAGACTACAGTCTCTATCCTAAAAGACAGAATAACCTCTTTGGAAAATGAATTAAAATTGAAGTCCAGTAAACTTGCCCAGACATCTGATGATTCTTCTCAATTTAAAGCTGAGATTTGCTCACTTCAGTAAGTCTAATACAAAATTGGGTTGTCTTTCAGAGATGCTAACATAATTTTGTTTGTTCTGTGACCATATCGCAGAGTTGAGTTCCTGGGAAAGACTATAAAATATTTTCAAACTCATTGTATTTGTCTTAAGGAAAAGTAAATATGAGTAAAAAAAGTGCTGTGGTGGATTTTCACAGCAAGCTCCTCCTTGACTTATTTGATGACCAGGTATACTGATAATTTTTGAGGCTAATTGTGAATGAAAATGTTCTTCTATAGTTGTTTCCTCTAACAATCATGTTCTCTGTTTATGAATGTAGCAGAACAGAAAATTTCTAAAAGGATTTCCAAATGCTGTTTGTTAAAAGGAAGACAGACTCCTTTGCGAACTGCAGCAGTAGACGCAAATTGTGCCAGTTTTACAGAATTGTCAGTAATAGTGAAATTTTTGTGCCAAGCATCAGGCATTAATATTCCACAATTGAGTGCTTCTTGGAGAGTTATTCTGTAATGGCATTTTACTTGTGTTGGTTTTCTTGTGTCAGTCTCTTTCTTAGGCTAATACTATCACACACATACTACAGTTTTGAGACTTGACATCTTACAATCCATAGACACAGTCTGTGGGGATTTGACCAACTCGCTCAGAACTGGAGGATCAAGTATACTCATGTATTTTAAAGGCCTATTTAAATTTGCAGGATCATTGATGCACTCTTTTGAAGCTGTTTTAGAAATGAGATCCTGGCAGCTTCCTAGGTGTTATGGAACAAGAAGGAGGCTTAGAGAAAGTAGAAATAAAGTATTGAATAAAACTGGGAAGAAATTTGCAAAGCTGGTATTTGGTTTAGGTGAAAATGACAGCCTTTGATGTAAGAGATCAGGAAATTCTTTAAATAAATGTGGTGTGGCTGATAATCACTGCTATGAGCTACATATCAAAATCTTTATAAAGCGATGAGTCAAAAGACCCAAGTGATGAGTTACATGATGAAGAGTAATAGGAATCAAAGGAAGCGAATGTTTCAGGTTATCATGGTGGTTGCACCGAGGCTCCATCGCTCCATTTTTGGAATGGTGTTGAGGTGGACTTGCCACAGGGGTCCAGAGCAACCAAGTGGTGCTGGCCTCAGCCACCCTTAATCATCCTCTCTCTCCCGGAGAGGGAGGGACAGGACTGGTTAGTGTGGCACAACCCCATGCTGCTGGCTGGTATGACACAAGCCTGTCATGAGGTTATGCTAGAACTGTTCCAGCACTGCAAGCAGCTTAAGAGCCATAAGTCAATGACTCTGAATAGGTCCCAAACTTCTTTCACCTGCATACTGATTTTCCAGGCTCTTAAATGACCGACTGCAGAGGTCTGTTGAAGATTTACAGCACCGACTGTCCCTCAAAAAGGATGAACTGCAGTCAGCTCAAGGAGAAATTGTAAAGCTAGAGGAGGAACTAGGTAATCTGTAGTTATTTCTATGCTTATTTCCTGTTTTTAAAATAGCAAGTACTTACTCTTTTATTTATAGATAGGTTAAACCAGAGGAGCACTTCCCAGGATGAAGCAGTTAATGTGCTTAGAAGTACTATTACTGTTTTGGACAAAGAAAAGGACAGTCTTCAAGAAACCGTAGATGAAAAAACGGAAAGAATTGCATGCTTAGATGACAACTTAGCTAACAAGGTATGTGCAGTGAAAGTACTACTTTGCAGTCCGCCTGGGGATTTTTAAAGCAGTTACATTTTAGGGAGACATTCTGCCTCGATGACAAAGCTTGTGCAGAGCTCTAGGCCTCACATGAGCACTATGTTTGGACCTGGCCGATACAAAGAGTCATTTGCCATCTCAATGCCATTTTAATTATGGCTGTTAGTGTATTCTCTAAACACTCCAAGAAAATAAAGAAGTATTTTTTGCATTTTACACTAGGAGGTATCTATTGAGATATAAGGTTCTAGCCTGAGATGACAGAATCTATAGTTTGACTTCCATCTTTTTTAATGACATGCCAGTCATTTCTCAGTAAAGACAATAAGCCTGGAAATTGGAATGTGCAAAGATACAATTACTTATTGGTAAAGGGTTAAAATAAATATTTAAATTTAAAATTCTTTAAAGTATCCTGTTATGTTGCAATATACATAATACAACTTTGCTGTTATTTTCATAGGAAAAAACAATTAATCATTTACGTCTAACTCTCTCTGAGCTGGAGTCCTCAACAGAGTAAGTAAAGAATAGGATGCCTTCTTCAGTGGTTTTAATTTATATAGTGGTTTTAAAGTGAAAGTAGATGGCTATTTTAGTTACTTGGTTGAAATAGAGTTAATTCAGTGTAAGTCAAGTAAGGGACTATAGTGTGTTCAGAAAGATGTACACAACTTTTGAAGACACTGTCCCTGCAATTATATTGCAAGTTGCTAAGATACTGTTAAGATAGCTATTAGCAATTGGTTTTCTGTATTTATTTTCCTAAATTGGTAAAATTTCTTAATTTTCAGTTAAGAAGTAACTTTATAGTATTCTAAGTCCTCCACTAGATGTTAGATTGACCCAGGTAAAACTTAGAGCTGAACTGATAGTTATTGGCAAGCTATTTCTTCCTGCTTAAGCTGCCAGTATAGTCTTAATTTAAATAAATTTATGTAGTTTTTAGCTGGGCTTCTTCTGATCTTTCCTTCTTGTCTCTTTTTAAGCATGACATTTCAAACTATAGCTTTTTAAAATAAAGGATTTAAACACCAACATTTAAACATCTGAAGACCAGTGCAACTGAGTATTTGGTACATTGATGCATGAAGTATCTGTGGCAAAAAATGAATTCAAAAGTTTACTTCAGTTGGCACATATTTAGTTTTCTACTTTTTTGTTTAATCTCTTCCTTACTATTTTGATTGTTGTCTTTCAAGTGTAAGCTATCCATCTTCTTCTGTTATAGTTTATACACTAAGCAATGTCTAACATACTGTAACCACTACCAAACACAGATAAGTATCTGTAATTGCTGTTTGTGTAATAAGATATATCTTGCCGGATACATCTTCAAAGTTGAAGATTAATTCCATTTTATTTGTGTATATTTTACATTTTGCATCCTTAGCTTATGTTTATGCTTAGTCTCAGTTTGTGAGCCTACAGAGAGTACGAATTTTACCATTTTTTTTTAAAAAGCATTTTTTCATATTCAAAATCCACATCTGATCATTTTCAGCAGTATATGATATAGTATGGAAAGGGACAACTCAAATAAGATTTTCACTTGATAGCCAGATGAAGGACATGCTGAGCAACAGAGACCGCGAGATATCTAGCTTACATCACCAGCTTGATGCATCCCACGTAGAGCTTGCAGAAACTGGAAGAGTAAAGGAAATGGCTCTGAAAGAAAACAGACGATTGCAAGACGACCTAGCTACAATGGCCAGAGAAAACCAGGTATGAAGGCAGAACGTAATACTGAGGTAGTAAACTCTTTATTGCTTGCTTGTCTCTAGTGGTCCATCTAAACCACTGCATCCTCAATTTTGATTCGATATGTTTAATTACTGATATTTCTTGAACAGTGGAATATTAAAAACGACTCGGCAGAAATTGTAAAAGCAGATACTTTAGATACTGAAGCGTAGCCAATACAGTGAAGGAGTAATAGACAAGCTTTTAGTTTAGTTCTGCTTCCCCAGATTAAAAAAGAAACCAAACAAAATAAATCTAGGACGTGATTGTTTATACTGTAATGAAATTATGTTAATTGGTCGTATCACTTGGTATTTGGTATTTAATTGGTAAAAAGTGAGTTTAATTATCTGTGGAACAGGAGATATTGAGAGTGAGCAAGAAACCACAAAAGCAGGTATCACGTTAGTCAGGTGAGAGGGAGAGGGAGGAGATTGCTGATTGCTAGCACACCGGAATTGGTTCTGGTGCACAGCGATTCGTTAGCATCATCCATCTAGTTTCCACGAAGGAAGCATTGGATGTATTGAATGGGAGGTGCCACGTTTTGAGATGAGACTGTTTTGGAATGTAGATTTTAATGTTTATGTTCTGTGAGCCTTGGTAATGGTGGCTGTAAAGAGGTGCTGGCAGGTTTTGACTTTCCAGTTCTGGCAAGGTTAGTTGCCATTTATGTGTGTTGCTTTATAGTTGACTTTGCTTTCCCTGAGGAATTGGCAGAGGTTAATGTTGGGAGGGAAAGTATAGAAGGCTTAAAAGCTATAAGAGAGAGGGATTGAAGAAAACATATTTTTAAGATATGGTAGTCCTGAATAGTCTGAATTTGTTTCCTGATTTCAGGAATGCACAGTTGATGGGAATAGGAGGGTTTCCCTTTCCATTGTGTCGAGGTTCTGTGGGGTTTTTAGGGGGTGAATTCAAAGGTGCCATCTATTTCCCTTGAGAAATGTTCTTATTGGATTGACTGTGCCTTGGTAAGGTAGGTGTCATGGTGAGGTGGTACCTTATAGCTCAGCTGTATATTGCGGCTTTTTTTGTGTGTGGCTTTTGGTATTTTTGTGAACATTCTGTTCAGGTACTGTATTTGACTGCTTGTGGAGTTTTCTGTTACATCTTTGTATTAATTTTATACAATTTCATCTTTCCTTAGCTTTCCAGTAGTTTAGAGTCATTAGGTACCTCTGCTAACAGCTAGCCAGTCAGTAGCTTTAAGCCAAAAAGCAGGTGGGAAGTGGGTTGTGCTTGCCCAGTGGACTCTGAGTTGGTTCATGTGTATTCATGGTCAGCTTTCCTATTGGGAGGTATACAGTCCTTTCAGCTGCTAATGGCCAAATACATTTCCTTGTGAAGTGCATGCTGTAAAGGCACAATTTAAACTTATGTCAGTTACAGAGTGAAAGTTGAAATAAAATCTTTGATGCCTTGACGAATTACATATTTCTGTATGGTATCATTGAATATTTTATTGAAAGATGAGCTATCTCAAGTTGATGGTATAGGTTAAATAAAAGTTTTGCAAGACAGAAATAGTCAAGACACTCAGTGAATTAAACTGTTTGATTATTGTCATTTTTATTCTTGTGGCATCTTCATCTTGAGATGTTCTCCAGGGGTCTGCAAGTTAAACCAACCACTGGTGTGTAAGGCTCATTCTTTCAAGAGCATAAGGGGGTTATGTAACATATGTCCATTTGCACTTTTCCCAATCATCATTGCTCCATCTCTTCTTCCTTGGAATTCTCCGGGTCTGGGATCAGGCTTGAAGAGCCTGAAGTGCATTCAGTCTTGTTAATCCCTCACACAGTTTGAGGAATAATGAGTTGGTTTTGTGCACCAGCTGGTTACTGCTGACCAAAAGCCTCCCAGCTCCAAGTGCATGACATGGATGTCCCTGTACAATAGAGGGTGTGTATGGACAATATGTAACAAAAATATACAGTGTTTTATAGGGTAAGTAACACTTTTTATCAGGCTAAACATTAGAAGGACTATGTAGAGAATATGTGAATGTCATTTACAAAACTAGCCCAGAATTTTGTTGCAACTCATTACATTCCATTTGTATAGTAAATACAACTATTTCAGCTCATCATGAGACTCAAATGCCTTGTACAATTTTGATGCTGAGATACAAATGTTTGTTTGAATTTACTGTCAATGCCAACACTAAAAATAATCAGGGCCTTGTTAGATAAACATTTATTTCAGTTCCTCTCAGTTAACCCATCTGAGTCTGAAGCTGGAAAGTACAGTTTAGCAAGATGTCTTAAGTAAGTGATGTGGTACCCTGAATAGTTCTTGCAAAACCTGTGGTACAATATATAGATATGTGGGTGTATTATTGAAACCAGAGATGCCATTCACACAGGTATCTAATAAGGTGAAATATGAAATATTATCCTTATGTGATGATGAAAGCTTTCCCAATGTGCTTGGGAAGGCTACACCAGAGACAAGCAGACTGATTTCAGCATATGCTAAATAAAGCACACAGTTCTAAGGCTGCCGTTAATGAATATTAAGATGCCACAAAAAGAAGATGGGAAAGAAATATGGCAATATCCTCTCTTTCCCCCCACCTTTCATAGTAGGGATAGAAGATACTTGCCTTTTTGGCTCTCTGGGCTAGAAGACTCAGAGAAAGGTGAGAGCTGAACCTGGAAGTGCCAGAGTTAGCAGTTCCAACATCTCAAATGAATTCCACAGTGCATTTCTGGTGTCTAAATATGATCTTAGTAATGCATTTAGTTGCTTTATCTTTAAAATTCTACTTTAAAATAAATGTTATTATAAAATTGACTTTCTAGTGACACAAAACTTGCCTTCACTCAGGGATAGTGCATCTTAAGGCTAGAAGAATCCCAGCTCCCAAACGTCTGTATGTTGAATTTTCCAAAGATCAGTAGGGTGTGTCATCAGGGAAGCTGCAGATTTTATGAACTGCTATGATATTCATTGTTTTCTGGGATTATTATTGCCTGGAAAGCTCTTTGGTGTATGTAAGGTAGTAGGGATATTTCTGAACCCTACGAATCCCCAAGGGCTTTGACTAAATTACTTAACAGTAGACTAGAGTAAAAACTAGGGCATATGCAATTACTTTGATTTAATTTGAAACAGTAATATATAGTGATTAATTTACTCAAATGCACTGGTTTGCTTTTATGTAATCTTTTTAGGCTATTAGTACTGAGCTTGAAGATGCAATACGTGAAAAAGAAGAAATGAAAACCAGGGTTCATAATTATATAACTGAAGTGTCCAGATTTGAGACCTTGATGGCTTCAAAGGTAAAAGCATAATCTGTAGTCAGTCACTCCTGTTTTCAATAAATTCTTTGGGTTTAGAGTATAACACATTCTCACTAGGATACAATAAACAACTTAAAAAATGTATGGTTTGGATCCCATTCTCCCTGCCTGTCCTATTTCATTCTGTTATTTTCCTTTTTTGCTCTGCAGTGTTTCAAGCTACTAGTGGATTCATACAAACCCTTATTAGATCTGAAGTGCTGATAAATTCTGGCACATCACAATGTCATTGATTATGTTTCATTTGGCTGTAACACTGGAAAATTACAAACAAATCATGTTTGAATATCATTTTGCTTTTTGAGTTTTGACAAAGCAACTAGTAAAATATCTGGTACTATTTCATGATTGTAGGCAACAAGCAGCTTATATGATGGGTTTTAATATTTTTTACATTTTAAAATAAGAACATTTATATGTAGTTCTGCAGGAAAGTGTAAAAATAGCACATTGGAATGTTTTCTCTATGAATGATAGGAGTTCAGTGGTTTTGCTGTACTGTCAAAACAGTGTTCTTGTGAAGTGTATTTTGTCCTGATACTTGATCCAGAAGTGTGATGTGTGTGAATTAAAACTTAGAATTGTTTAAAACAAATAGAATTTATGTCAAGACAACAAGGCAAATTTATTATGTGACTTTGAATAGGGAAGAATGAGTTTTGATTTGACTTTGACTTGCCTGTCTAGAGGAATGCATGTAAATTCAACCACTTTTTACAAGTAGGAACTGAAACATAGAGAAAAACATAAGGTCAGTAATATGTTAACTTAGAACTCTCAAAACACTTCAAGTTTAGTTTTTAAGAATTGTATAATATATCATATGTCCAAAGCACTTCAGCGACAGATGTGGCCACATATTTGGCAAATAAGAATCCAGTTACTCAAGTCAGGTACCAAGAAGCTGTAGAATATACAGCCAGTGACCAATTATGAAAGGTTGGTTTCAGGGATTTATCTAGTATTACATATGGATGTTGCGTGTGGAGACAAAGATTTACTTGCACAGTATTCACTTGCTTAATCATGAGTTTCTGTTTCCTAGTGCCCCACCTCATTCTGTCTGCACCTTCCAAGTTCTGCAGGAAACACAGAAGAATTTAAAAACCAGTAGCCTTCCTCATTAGATAAATATGATTAATACCAACATGCAAAAAGGATGATGCCCTTTAGTGATTGCCAGATAGTGGGATTAAGAAAATGGAGAAAGTTCTACCTTCTTCTGAGAAAACAAAGATATTGTAGGGAGTAGGCATGAAATAAGATCAAGCAACTTGAAGGTATGTTAATCATTGCAGAATGATTTACTATTTCATCTAGGAAAAAGAAAACCAAGAATTGTTAGAGAAGTTCCGAATGCTCCATACACAAGCTGAAGACTGGGAAATAAAGGCTCATCAAGCTGAAGGAGAAAGCAGCTCAATACGACTGGAACTCCTTTCTGTAGATACAGATCGGAGACATCTTCGAGAGAGAGTAGAACTTCTGGAAAAAGAGATTCAAGGGGTAATAACTCGTGCCATGAAATGCTGTCAAGGAAAGTGGGATACTTTCAATTGTTTTTTAATAAAGTCAACATACTATTTTAATGCTTTAATGGAAAATAATTCCTATACATGAAGCATAATTCCTATACATAAATGTTTCACATGTGGACACTGAGTTCTTGAACCAGTAACAGAGTTTGGTTAGATGTGCTTTCCTTCTCCCTTCCCTGCTTTCCCAAAATTAGAAACACAGCGTATATTTTAATACTTTTAGATCTCTCCTGTTGGGTGATTATTGGTGTTATGCTATTGTTTCTGTAAGAACCTTTTGTTTAGGTGCTTCAAAATATTTGCACATATCATTATGAGTATTTTGTCAGCTAGCTGTATGAGTATTTGGTAAGCTTAGTTCTTACATTTCTTTGAAACTTTCAATGAAACATTTGAAGCATTGGTGGCAGAAGTAAAGGTAAAAATCTGGTGGTGGTGGTAGTAGCAGCAGTCCAGCTCCAGAATCAGGATTCCATAATACCAAAACCTAGACCAATAGCATATAAAATAATGAAGTTTATATTTTGGAAGCAATAACTTCATGCAGAACAAGGAAGTTTTAGAGTATAATAGTTGTGGATTGACCATATTTTGTCTCATGCTTTTAATTACCCCAAAAGTGTGAGAGACTTTAATATTGTAAGCTGAGTAAAGAATGAATTGTATTTTGGGGGATTTTAGCTTTTAATTCTCTTCTGAAGCTTGAATCCAGCCTCATTCCACTCTCCTATAGTACTTGTATAATTCTTCAAGGTGGTGATTAAAAATTGCAGAGGTGGTTTATTAGTTGTTCTTAGATGTGATTTAGGGAGAGAAGAGGAATCTGATATAAAGTTAATTTTATAGGGAAAGTTAATTTTGAAGGGTAAAGAAAGTATTAAAAAAACCCTCTTGTTATCCAACAGAGAACTGTTAACGTTTAACACTGAAGGGGTATCCATATTTGTCTTTATTTTAGCATATCGTTGCACATCAAGCATATGAATCTCAGATCTCCTCCATTACAAAAAATATGTCCAAATTGGAAGAGGATGTTAAGCGTGAAAATCAGGACAAGTCTTCTGTGTTGGCGGACCTGGCTTCTGTGAGGGAACTCTGTGTGAAGCTTGAGTCTAACAAAGAACTTTTATCTCGACAGCTGACATCCAAAAGCATGGATTATGAAAGGGTAAGCAGCAAAGGCAAATTTAATTTGCTATAAAAAAATAACTTCCTTTGCTTTTAATGTTTTTTTTTTTTTGGAGAAAAGAATAAATTACTTCTGAGAGCTAGGTAAATTAATTTACATCACTAGTTTTACATTTATATATAAATTCTGCAGTTTACAGATCTATATCTGTGGGTTTTGTACAAAAAGAGGGGAGTTTCTTTCATTCATTATCGCTACAAAATGTGGCAGCTGTAGTTTTTGCTATACCACAGCGACAAATTATATTTATTTGGTTTTATGTACTTTTTTTTAATTTACTCAAATTTTAAACTTCTATAAAAAGAGAACAGTGCACTTCTTATCTAGATACTAAAGGCTTTTCCTTAATGGATTTTTTCAATTAAACTGAAATTTAGATTCAGCTGAAGTTTATTAAATGTTTTTAAAGAGTTTAAAGATTTCTAAATGTCCATAATTTCTGAACCTTTTTCTTTACAACTGGTCGTTGTTTCTTTACTTAGTGACTTGGTCAGGGTTTCTGTTACTGTAATATTCAAGACCTTGAGAACAGTAGTTCTCGTCACCATAGAATTTCTTTATATTCATAGAACTGATGAGGAAAAAAAGCATTCCTACCTTTCTACCTTTTCAGCAAAAGCCAAGAAGCTAATTGTGAGATAACCTCGACAAATAAAATGAAGTATAGTAAATGATAATTTTCTACTTGTGCAAAAGCCTACTGCTGTTAAAAGCCAATTAGTGTTCTGAGTATTCACTTATGCATTTCCAGCACTCAGTAATCCAGCTCCTGGTAAAATATTTGACAGATGTACAGCTTGAATGTTTTTGACTAAGTATAGTTTTAAGTAATAGTAGGCAGTGTTTTGCAAGCTCAGTTTCCTATTCACTTTTATGAAACTTCCAGTCATTTCAGTTTTTATAACAACTCTTCATGAAAGAGAAGTTTGTGTGTTTGTAAATCAGTGTATTAATAATATATAAAATTTGTGCCCTAGGTTCTAGGTGAATTAGAAGATATAAAATCAGAAGCAGAGTTGCTGAAAAAGCAGTTATCCAGTGAGAGACTTACAGTTCAGAATCTTGAAACATTGCTGGCTACTAGTAGAGACAAAGAATTTCAGAACCATTTAACATCCCATGAGAAAGATTCGGAAATTCAGTTATTGAAAGACAAGCTAACACTCGCTGAGAGCAAACTGTAAGTTTTAACATGTGTATATATGTGTTATGTGGTTTACAAAGAAACCTTTTCTGTTTGACAGCAGTTATTCACAAAGTCAAATACTTGATGTTCGGTATGGCTGAGCAGATTTTTGCAGCAATGTCTTTTGGCCTTTAGTGGCATTGTTTACTTCAAGTTTCTTTACAGATCTTTCCTATCGCTCTGATTAGTTAGCATCGTGGTGGACACCAGCTTAGTACAAGCAATAAACTTAAACAGGAGTTCCAAAGGAAACCTACTCCAAAAGGAAGGAACATCCTGCTGAGTCTTCAGTCTTGAGAATAAGCACTCAGTTTCTCTCAGGATTTGTCCCCAGTCTGACTCCAGAAAGTTTGCTTCACTCTCCCTGTAGGTCATGACTCTTTCTTGCCTCAGTCAGGCAGAGGAGCCAATACTTTTCCTGAAGTTCACTTGTCTGATAGAACTCTGTGCCATCATCTCAGGTCAATCACTCAAATCTTTTCCTTCTGAGCCTCTTAGTGAACAAAACTACCTAATGGCGAGGTAGCTAGTCTGTTGCAGACATTATTTCCACTACAGAACCAGCCAACCCATGATAATTTGTAAATTTCTTAGCTGTTGAGTACATCTATAAATGTATGTATGCTTCGCAGTATGATTTGGATATTTAACCTTTGCATCAGTGTATCAGTTCTCAAAGTACATAACCACCTCTCTCACAGGTTATGATTTTCTGCTTAGCTTCAGGAAGCAATTTAATTCAACTCTGCTTTTTAAGCAAAACATATTTTTATTTGACTTTGAAGAGTTTAACTATGAGTTTAATTATTAAGGGAACACAAATTTTCTTAGTCTTGAATTATGTTTTATGTTCTTATGTTGGAGAGTATTCTGAAGTCCTAACTCCTTTGGAACAATGTGGATTCATCAAGCATCTTAAAGCAAATTGAAAGTAAAATTTTAACGTATGTGTACTGCTCACAAAAAAATACCAGGTAGATTAAATCTATGGTGAATGTGAATTGAATACCTGCTGAAGATGCCTGTTGTCCTTACTTCAATTAAAGTAAGAATCACTTACATAAAAAATAGTCAAGTCATAGTGCTTTAAAAAAGCAAAAATACTTTTACTGCTTTTAATATTAACTGTTAAGGGAAAAGTCCTGTATCATTTATTGTTCCTTTGAAATATAAATGGAACTGAACCTGTTACGTACACTAAATGTGGCCAGCACTTTCCATTGTAGGCAGCTGCAATTACCTATGCTGTGCACCTGCCTAGAGTAGAAATAACTGTTTAACACTACTATGGAAGAAAGACTAATCTGTTTGGAACAATGCACTTAAGGAGGGGGATATTTTTGTATATGAAATTAAAGTATGAGAGAATTGGGGGATTTAAACAGTTTTCTTCATGATATGGGGCAGGTAATTGGAAGTTTCCATGATATGTGTCATTGTGACATAATTTTCCTGGGGATGCATACACTAGCCAGTGACTGTAGAGGTATCTCTACATTAAATAGCAAGAAGGAAGACTAACAGCTGAACATGGATGGTGGTGAAGACTAAAGTCAAAGTAGAGTTTCAGAGAAGGGAAAACAGATACACCCACTTAGTAAACACTGAGGTAAGGAGAGAAAGGAAATGTATGGAAGGTAAAAGGACAAATAATGCTTCATTATGAGCTATAAAATATAGCATAACTAAACAGCTATCTAACTTGGTGAGACAAATGTGCAAGAAAAATGCTTTTGGTTGACTTACACAAAGGCTACAGCTCACCACTGATGATGGTCCACCTCAAGTAGCAGTGATCTCAGTGAATCTGTAGATGATGGCACTATTAATCACTCCCGTGCAACTCATTGCTTCATGTTTTAGAATTGTTGGAAATACTTGGGAAAGAAAGTTAATTGCATACAAGGAACATAAATTAAGTGTAAAAGTTACAAAAAAAAAAAAAAAGGAAAGGAGGTTTTCACTCAAGTTTAATTTAGCTTCTTTGAGTACAAACATTATAAAACTGTGTTTAAATAACTTCATGTAATTTTTTCACAATTTTTCTTCCACACACATTGTAGGGTTCCTTTCTTGTCTGTTGTAAATTTCAGTACTTGCAAGGTTAATAGGCTGGGATATTGCAGGAAGAAGGAAAATGTTCTCTTGGCTATTCTATTGAATTGTTTTCCTCTGTTTATATCAAAGGTTCTGTATATTGCTAGGCAAACGTTCAGGTGTAAGAACTAGTTGTATATACCTTATTTTCTACTATTCAGTTTGTAGTAGTTGCAGTCTAAAGAACAGGAACTTTAAATGCTCACAGCTGTGACTGAAGTATGTGGCAATTATGTTTATGTCTTATGACATATAAAAATTAATTTGACTTGGAAAAATTTCAGTTCTAACTGACAAAAATCCTGTGTCAATTTGAACATTATTTACAATTTTGGTCTGCGCTTCCACTCTATTTATAAAATGGTACTGACAGAACCTCTGACTTTAGAAGCATTGTCAAAATTAAGTTTAACTTGTGAAGTTCTCCAGTGCTGTAATTTTGAGCTCTGTGAAGACTGAGTAGTTGTGTTACTCAGTTCTATTTGGGTGATAGTACAGTAAGTGAGATCTTGAGGGTCTACAGTGATTAAGTATTAAATAAACAGAGAATATTGAATAACTAAAGTACTTGTTGAGAGCTATCTGTATCTAGTGTGAAAGAACCACACATCCTGTGAAAAAATAGTATATCATCATGTAATCTTATTATATGATGATTACTGTGCATAGGGGTTCCAAATTAAAATATTTATTAATTTTTGAGTGATTTACTTCATAATCTTAATTTTGTTTAAATGTCATTGACATGGAATAACCTCAGAACTCACAAAACTGTTTGCTTCTCTTTTTTTATTTTACAATAATGATATTGGGCCCTGAATTCTTACCTCCATCCTGAAAGCATATGCCTGTCTCTGAAGGACTTATTCTAAGATATCATCGAGACCTCTTGTCTTCTGCATCCGTTCTCAACATACTGGATCAAGATACCATTCTAGGAATTTTACTGATGAATAGGGAACACAATTTAAAAATAATCTGCGGTTCTTTTTGGATCGAATCTCGAGTAGTTTTCATCTTCCTGGAGTCAGAGACGAGCAGGTGCCAGACAAGAAGTCTGTGACTGAGCTAGGAGTGGAACTTATTTTTCAGAATTCAAGTCCAGTGCTTTAGCAATAAACTAGTACACCTTTGCTTCTCCAGAAGTGACTTTTGAGCACTCCACCTCATATTGGCTTTGAAGACTCTATGGAATAACATAGCTGTCTAGATTCTGGTTTAGACAACTTATTGTACACTCAATGATTTTTTTTTTTTGCTTGCTTTATAATGCAATTAATGGTGTTTTGCAACCAAGCATTGAGTTGTCCAAGTTGACGATTTCCTATGAAATATATTTAATTATATTACTTAAGATTTTCAAGGCTGATTTTCATTCTGATTCTTGCAGTTGAAATAGTTGGGTGCAAATACTAAGAGTATAGTTGACAAGCTTTCAGACTCTGCGTTTTGCTGGTCTGAACTTTCATTAATACAGCTCTTACTTAGTTTTGATTCAGTTGTATTCATTGACAGATAGTTCCAGCCTACTTGATAGAATTTCTACTGAAGCCATATCTGTTATATTTGTATTTTTTGTGGATAGTTACTGCTGTTTTTCTTCTAAGTGTACATATAAAGACCATCTTGCATTGCAACAGAGGAAAGTAAATCAATAAATCAATGATTTAATTGTTTTGTCTGTTTTTATAAAACATGTTTCTCTTTACCTTTGTCTGAAAAAGAGCATGATGTATTGTAGTAAGGATGTAGTGAGAGGCTTGCCAGCTTCTCACTTCTTTCTCACCTTAGGCTCTTCCAGAAACATTCTGTTGCATTCATTTGGTTTTTGCTGCCTCTCATTTGTCTTTGATTTGATCTGTGTGAAAAAAGATGTTCAGTATCTATTTTTGTCTTATTTTGCTCCAATTCGTCTAAGCTCTTAGCTGACAGTGTTCAAAGAAAACTTTGTTGCTTCTCATGATTTTTTTTAGAAGCAGCTATAATAGAGAAGTTCCCATACTTCGAAGTAAAGTTGCACAGCTGCAGACTGACTGTGATGTTTTAAAAAGGCAACTGACAACTGAACGGTTTGAACGGTAAGATGCTGTTTTTTCAGTGAGGTGACTCTCCTCATTTCTTCTTTCTCACTTTTAAAACTGTTGCTTTTTGCAATAGTGAGGAACTTTTGTGGAAAATTGTGCTTCTATTGTCATGCAAAACCTAATATTCTCATATTGAAAACTGCTTAATTAGAAAAAAAAAAAAAACTTACACAGTTTCTGAATTCCCTTCAAAATTTTGTGAGTTTACCACTGCATCTAAAAAAGAAAAACCCCTTCTCGTGAAAACAAGAAGTTGAGTGACATTATGAGAAAACAAGGCTCTTTGCAAAGTATTGTGAAAATCACCAAGTAAAAATATGGAAGAAAAAAGTTACATTTTCTTCCTTTAACATACTGCAGTACCAAAGTGTTGTGTAACTGAAATTACTATCTGTTGGTAGAGAGCGTGCAATTCAGGAAATGCGTCGACATGGTCTCTCTACATCATCATTACGTGCTTCACCTCCTCTCACTTCAACATTAAGGTCTCCCTCACATTCTCCAGAACGTACCATTGTACGGACAACTGATCAAGCAGCAGCTGAAAAGTAAGCAATTTGACTTTAGCAGATTGTTTCTGTTTAAGAATTAGGTTTAAACTGTTTCTAAATAATACTTTTTTAATTATATTAAATTCTTACACACTTATGTGGTTATAAGTTCTTCTTTTGTTGACTCTCCTACTATAAAATATTGATTTGAAACGATAGATGCAAAGTGCTCTCCGAAGACCATATAATGTAACAGATTCCCATTCCTGGTTTTGTTAATGGTCTTGCACCAGCCGACAGCTTCCACATATATCTCACCTGCTTATTGTTACAATTAATTATATCCAAATATATATTGCCAATTTATTATTGTTAATAGTTATCTCCAAACAAATGGTTCATATTAAGAGAAATGCCATGAAATTATCTCCAAGTACATCAATCAAGGAAAGGAACTCCATAGGAGAGAATCCAACTAAAATTCATTTGAACTCTACACATTAGATGAAACTGTCTCCAGAACAAGTGCATAAAAATAACTAATCCATTTCTCATTATTAGTGCTTGAATGTTATTATGAATGTCTTAAAATCGTCATCACTAGAGTACATAAAAAAGAAAATCAACCTCTTGCCTGTTTGTTTTCACTGACATTTTTGTTCTTTTAGAGATCATTGTTGTTTTAGAAGATGTCAGTTTTGTGTTACAGGCCTGATTATTGACTTTATAACCCATCTGTCCTATACTGCATAATAAATTTTAGCGAAGAGCAGAAGGATAGGGAGAGAGAAACAGTGAATGTGTTAGGAAATATGTGAGCTCTAACAGCTATATAGAATACTAGAGCAGCTCATGAATCTATCTATCTAACTGCTGAACTCCAAGAAACAGAATTATAAACTTTTAAGATTTTAAACTTTATTTTTGTTGGTAAATACATATGGCTTGTTCTTAGGCTTACTTTTGTTAATAAAAACACAGGTTTCCTGATAACTGAGGTCGGCATGGCATGACTTGCATTGTCAGCAATTTTTCTCTTCTTTTGTGAGTTTTTGGACAAAGCAGAAAAAGGAGACTGTAGCAAATGAGATATTGATAGTGGAGATAAAACAGCGGTTATGACTTTTGCTTTGTTGGTGAGCCATTAGGCAAACCCTGCTACATTGCAAATCAACATTTTGACTGAGATAATTATAGATAATACATTTCTGAGAATTGCTGTCATCAGTAGAGGATTGTCTTTAGTCTTCCCTGCTTTACAGTGAGTCCTGAGAGCAATAAGAATAGTCCAGTTGCTATACTTGAAGAATACCATGTAGTGAACTAGATGGTATTCTAGTTATTTTTAATAGATATTTAGTAGATATTTTTATCCTACTATTTGCATACTTAGTTTTAACAATGATAGATCTGTACCATATCTTACGAGAAAATATCCAATTTTCATTAAATATATATTTTTTAAAAAGGTGGTTTTTAACAACTGAATTCATATGCAGTTTAATTTTTTACTATCTTGCCTTTTAAACCTATCAATGAATTATTACATTAGAATTATTTCAATAATACTATCACCATCTTTCACCCTACTTATTTATTCCTTTCTGGGAGCTTGCCACAGTAAAGTATGCTCTGTAATTACTGTTCTATAGTGTTACAACTGTCTTTTTCTCTAATCTGATTTAATGTTCTCAAGAAATTTTCTCTTCCTCCTCATCTCACATTTACTGTGTTAAGCATTTAAGCAATGAGTCAATGAATGTAGTTTTAGATAATATGTTAATAGTTGATATTCAGGAATAGCAGAAGAGAATATGAGGAGGCTAAATCTAATTATCACTTTTTATCCTAATATTCATCATTAAAATATGATAGATAGCTTTATTTTAATATTTTTTCTTTCTCCACCAGAAATGTGAGCTTCAAGGAATAATCAGTACTTGAGCAACTGAAGAATTACCTTGTTGCAAGGACTGTTTTTTTTTTTTTTTTAAATTATGAAGGCTGACTTGTATTCTACCTCTGTTTTCTTCAAAATGGTGAATACCTTTGAAATTTCTGAGAACTGGTGAAGTAATCAACTTTGCAAAATTCTGTTTTCCCAAATGGCTGGAGTAACTGTTTTTTGCTGGCTGTTTGATGGGTTTTTTATCAAGGCTGGCTAAGTTTTGTTACTATTTTGCAAACATAATAATTATAAGAAGGAAACAAGTACCTGATATGACAATCTCTTATTTTCATTTTACTATTTTAATTCTATGTGCTTATCTCAAATGGTTACAGAAGTTTGTTCATCTTAGCATGAGCTAACATAGAATAACACATGATTGTCTGAAAAATGCTGAGCCAGTGTATGTTTTAAAGTCATGATCATTTCCTATATTTGGGCTTTTAACAAGTGTTTTCTATTTACAGGTCATTTTTCATGGTATTTAAGAGTACTGATTATCTATTTTGTGAATGCATTTTGTTTACTGTACCTTTTCTTAATAAAAAAAATCACTTATTGTTTGTCATCTAAAAACTACACGTCTCCTTTTGTTTAATCTTCATGTAAAATTACATTTTAAATATTATCCCAATATTAAATAAATAGTGAAGAGAAAAATTACATTTTTAAAGATGTATTGAAATCCTTTAAATAAATGTGGTGTGGCTGATAATCACTGCTATGAGCTACATATTAAAACCTTCATAAAGCGAAGAGTCAGAAAACACAAGTAACAAGAATTAAATGATGAAGAGTAATAGGAATCAAAGGAAGCGAATGTTTCAGGTTATCATGGTGGTTGCACCGAGGCTCCATCGCTCCATTGCTCCATTTTTGGAATGGTGTTGAGGTGGAGTTGGCACAGGGGTCCAGAGCAACCAAGTGGTGCTGGCCTCAGCCACCCTTAATCGTCCTCTCTCTCCCGGAGAGGGAGGGACAGGACTGGTCAGTGTGGCACAACCCCATGCTGCTGGCTGGTATGACACAAGCCTGTCATGAGGTTATGCTAGAACTGTTCCAGCACTTCAAGCAGCTTAAGAACCATTAGTTATTTCAGTTAACAAGAGTTATTTCTATGCTTGTTTCCTGTTTTTAAAATAGCAAGTACTTACTCTTTTATTTATAGATAGGTTAAACCAGAGGAGCACTTCCCAGGATGAAGCAGTCAATATGCTTAGAAGTACTATTACTGTTTTGGACAAAGAAAAGGACAGTCTTCAAGAAACTGTAGATGAAAAAAAGGAAAGAATTGCATGCTTAGATGACAACTTAGCTAACAAGGTATGTGCAGTGAAAGTACTACTTTGCAGTCCGCCTGGGGATTTTTAAAGCAGTTACATTTTAGGGAGACATTCTGCCTCGATGACAAAGCCTGTGCAGAGCTCTAGGCCTCACATGAGCACTATGTTTGGACCTGGCCGATACAAAGAGTCATTTGCCAGCTCAATGCCATTTTAATTATGGTTGTTAGTGTATTCCCTAACACTGCACAGGACCTGCACAGGACATCCAGATTTTAGGAATGAAATGACAAGATGGATGTCGTCAGATCTCAATGGATATGATGAACAAAATAGCAGTTATGTCTCCATTGACTAATAAAAAGGAAAGACAAGCTTTTGTGGGAGTTGTGGGTTTTTGGAGAATACCTATGCAAAATTACAGTTTGATTTTAAGCCCTCTCTATCAAGTGACCCAGAGGAAGTATGATTTTAAAAGGAGCCCTGAACAACAATAAGCCTTTGAACAAATTAAGCAGGAAGTATATTTTTCATTTTGCACTTGATATTTATTGAGATATAAGGTTCTGACCTGAGGTGATGGAATCTATAGCTTGATTCCCATCCTTTATAATGGCAAGATAATCGTTTTTCAGTAAAGACAAGAAGTTTGGAAATTTGAATGTGCAAAGATGCGAGTACTTATTGGTGAAGGGTTAAAATAAAGGTTTAAATGTAAAGTTCTTGTGGCAGGTACACCTGCCCTGACAGAGACTGAAAATTCTTAGTCATTGAAAGGAGAAAAAAACCCAGAAGCCATAGTTTGGGGGTCAAGCTGCCCCAGCCACACAGTGGGTCAAGTTATGACTCCCACATACACACTTAAGGGAAGGATAAGGAAGTGTTGGCCCTCGGCCAGTGAGGACTAACAGGACCTTATTTGACCACAGATCAGATTTAGTGAGGATATGAACAGAGCCCTGCCTGTGGGCAGAGTCAGTCCTCTTTGGAACAGCGGGTCTGCAGCTGGGGACTCTCCCCTTGGAGAAGGAACAACTCAAATAAGATTTTCACTTGATAGCCAGATGAAGGACATGCTGAGCAACAGAGACCGCGAGATATCTAGCTTACATCACCAGCCTGATGCATCCCACGTAGAGCTTGCAGAAACTGGAAGAG